TGTGTGTGTGTGTGTGTGTGTGTGTGTGTGTGTGTGTGTGTGTGTGTGTGTGTGTGTGTGTGTGTAAGCGAGTGAGCATTAAAGAGAGAATGAGAGAGTTAAGTATGAAAGTAGATGAGTTTTAGTTACCTTTGAAAAACTATGCACACAAATACAATGAAAACAGTAAATATAAAAATATTACACTATCACAGCTGAAACAAGCATGACAGAATTCAGAGTATGATTATTTAAAACAACAACATAGCTGGGAGAAATAGGGAATCAGATTTCGACTTCATGCATGTACTATATGCACTATACTATCGGTCATCTCATTTAAAAAAAAAATGGAATGGAATTGAGTCTTACTAGTTAAAAGTGGTGTCTTCTGGACTTCTTTGCAGCGAAGTCTTTGATCACATCAGTAAAATCAACTTTATGTAGAAGGTCCCTCTCAATTGACATCAGAGTAAGATGATGTAATTTCTGATGTACCATTGTGGATCGCAGTCTATTTTTTACCAGTTTCAGTTTGGAGAAACTGCGCTCCCCACTTGCATTTGTGACTGGTAATCAAGTCAAGTCAAGTCAAGTTGAGCTTTATAATCATTCTGCTACATGTGGGGACATACAGTGGAACGAAATGTCGTGCCTCACAGGACCACGGTGCTACATAAATACAGGCATACAACAATAAAGTAAAACAGTAAAACCTATACACAACTAGCCTACTGACTGATTTTGACTATAAATATACTATATATATATAAATGTTTACCTATACATAAATTTTAAAAATACAGACTATACGAATGCTTCACAAAAAAACTGTACCTATACACAACTAACCTACTGACAGATTTTGACTATGAATATACTATACATAAATGTTTACCTATACATAAATTTAAAAAAAATACAGACTATACGGATGCTTCACATAATACTGTACATGTGCAAAGAGAAACATCGTAAGTCAAGCAGCTGGCTGGGGAACAGTGCAAGATGATTTGTAGTGCATGAGCATGTAAACACACATATTACGGAGTCTTTTGTGGGATTATGTACACAAAGCAGTGTGTGTGAAAAGTGTCTAGTGCGCATAGAGGTGAGTGTGTTTCTGCAGGTAATGTTAAGTAAAGTCTGAGAGCAACATCCACATTTGGGAAGATGGTCTGTAGTTTTCTTTTCCTAATGGGCATTAAACGTTCCCTTGCAGATGATGGCTCATCATGGCAGATGAAGTCTTTGAACTGGATGATTTCTTCACAAAATTCATTTTCCAGGTCAGTGTGGTACCTCCTCTGTAGATCTGCTGCTTTTTCACACAGATGTTCAGCAGAGAGAGTAGATATGTTGTTCAGGAAACCAAAGGAGACGTTGAGGTCATTATATAATTTAAAACGACGATCAAGTTCAGCCAGCAACCTGTCCATCACAACTAGAAACACACCAGATGAGAACTTTTCTCGTCCTGACAAGTGAGCCTCAGGTGTTGCAGACTCACCCACATGAGTCTTGCGTTTTCTTTGTCTTTGTGTGTCTTGTTTGTACATTGCTGAAACTGTGGGAGACATTGCTTTTGCTTGGGCCTCGAACACATCAAATTCATCTCTCAAACCTACAATATATTCCTGCAGTGATCTCACCAAATCAACAGCATTGCACAGGTCAAGATCCACAGCTTGTAGTGCAACACTTGTCCCCTGAAAGCGTTGGAGAACATGATTCCACATAGTGCAAAGAAAAGCAGTCACTAGTTTGTTCATTTTTTTATGCAGTGACCTTGCATCATTTTGTGTTGTCAGGTTCTGTGTGCTGTTTTCTGCAATGTTCATCAGTGACTCTTGAATATTGCCATAATTTCTGCACAGTGCCTTGGTGGCCTGTGCATGTGCAGCCCACCTGGTGTCAGAGAGCGTTTTTAGTGTCTCAATGCGGTGGTTTTCATTAGGCTGCAACCCTGCAGTTACCACCTTCATCTTGCTGTAGATTTGGAGCAGAAGTTGAACAAAGTTTGCACAAAGTTCAAAAATCTGCAGTCTCTGTGCAGCAGTTTACACTATTAATTCCAACAAGATTGAACGTGTGCGCGGCACACGGCACCCACTCTGCTAGTGGATTAATGTCTTTGATGTGAGCTTGCAGGCCGTTGTACACTCCAGACATGTTTGCAGCATTATCATAGCATTGTCCGCGGCAGTTACAGATGTTTATGTCCATTTCATGTAAAACTGTGAGTACGGCATCACACAGTGCCTTCCCTGTGTGGCTTGCTACAGGGAGGAATTTTAGGAATCTCTCTTCAATGACGCCCTCGGGTAAAGCATACCTTATGATGAATGTAAGCTGATTGATGTGTGTGATATCGGGAGTTGAATCAATGCTAATCGAAAAGTACTTGGCCACTTTCACTTCGGCAATAATTTCAGAAAGCAATCTGTCGCCCATTATCTTGATAAATTCTTCACACGTTTTCGACGAGAGATATGAGGGGGTTCCTACCCGAGCATTTCCATACATTTGTATGTGTGATTTCAAGAATGGGTCAAATTCACTGATCAGCTCCAGGATGCCCATGTAATTCCCATTGTCAGCTCTACTAAATATTTCACTTGAGCCTCGGAATGCCAATCCCCGTTCTGACAGAAATTTTACAACCGCAACCACTCTTCGCAAAACTTCACTCCAATAATTGCAGTACGACTCAAGCTGCTTTTTAAGTTGGGAGTCTATAAAGCCATCAGCTGCTGCTCTGTTGATGTAATTAAACATTGCCTTCCTATGACGGTCACTATTCTCATTCTCGCCAAAGCGTCTGGTAGCATGTTTCCAGTCATTATAACCAGACTCAAAAGGGGATTGACCGTCACCCTCACAAAAAAGACGGCAAGCAAAACAAAACACACAGCCTGTGGAAGGTGAGTACAGCAACCATTCTCTGGGCAGGGACTCACCATTCAGATGCTTGCGTTTGAAATGAGTTTTGGAAAACAGTCTCTTCTGATGTTTGTAGTGGCATTCAGAGGCTTTGACATTAGCCTCCTTATTTTGACAGGACACCGGACCTTTCCGCGCCCAGTAAGCACTTACATTCTCATCAATTCTACCCCAGCAAGCAGGATCGGCAGCGTAAGAATCAGTAGTAGCTGTAGGCCTATCTGGTGTAGTCGCTGTTTCTGATGCCACCTCCATACAGCTAACGGCTTCTGACTGAAAAGACGATAATCCACTGATGGGCTGCTCTGCACGTGAAGTCAGATCGGCTCCAGCAGGTTGTTGTCCTCTGATCTCTCAGCTTGTACATCAGGCTGTGGTGTCACAGGTGTGAAAAATCCAGTAATCGTTTTCAATTTACTGAGTGCTTCCTTTTCACGTCGCTGTCTTTCATTTTTTAGTTTTCTTTAAGCGCGGCACTCCTATACCGCTTGTCCGCCATTATACTGATTAATGTGGCCAGGTTACAACAGTGTAAACCCGACACATCGTTATCACCAATAACCAACCAGCAAACATCAAAATAACTGACATATAGTTTAACTAATTAAATGATGTCATTCCTTAAGCATGGCAGGGTTGTTAACAATGCCAGAACAATCAACGAACCTTAATTGAAAAATAAACAAATCAAATGAACGAAAGCGAGCGGGCAAGGCCCATGGGCTCGAGCCCACTCAAGTCCAATGGTAAGTCCGGCCATGCCTTTGTCTATGTAGTTTTTTCTGTCTTTCTGTTTTCTGACCCTTATCCCTGCCGTGGCCACCCTCATCCTTTCCCCCATTAATGTTTCCTTCTCAGATTATTTCCCACACTTTTTTTTAAATCTGGTATCTCATTTTTTCTACCTGCAGCTCATGGTGTGCAGCGGCCTCTCTGAGCATCTCCCTCTCATTTTCTCTTAGCAGTCAGCCTTGGCAACAGCTGCAGCACTACAGCAGGTCAGTCACAGTGAGCCAGTTCCAAACACTGTCATCAATCTTTACATCTTGTCATGGTCACATAACAATTGTTTAATCAGCTATTATATCTCCTGTTTGTTTTAATGTCTGTAGTCTCTTCACCTCCAGCAGGATCAGCAGCAACAACAACAACAGCAAAGGCAGCAACCGCAGCAGCATTCCCAGCAACCCCCTCAACATCAACTGATCCCTGTAAGTTAATAGGTGCAAAGAAAATATTATTTAACTTTTAAACTTAAAATGGTCTTTTCTGTTCTGTTTCTTTTTCAAAACTGTATCACGGCATTTGCTGCTGTATCAATACAGGAGTCACGAATGGAAGGAATGCGTCACGATACATTGCTGTTATGATATTTTGAGCACAGCCCTATTTAAAGCCTTGTTTCATGTGCCCCTTATATATTTTGAGCATCTGCTTGTTAATTAGTTGTTTCAAACTGTTTTTCATCTGTTTCTCTGTAAATGTGAACTTTATTTATCATATTTTTCTGTATATGAGTTGTATTTATTGGTTTTGTTGTTTCTTTGTGCAGTTTCACGGTGCTACGCAAACTAGAGTTTAATGGCACTCTTCACGAGCGAAATAAAGAAAGAAGCACCTGTCAGAAACTTTCTGTGTCCCGTTTATGGATGCCAAAGGGCAGCTACAGTGAAACTCGTCGCTTAAAGGAACCATGCATCTATTACATCGCTGTCGTCTTCTTCGCGGGAACGCAACGCTACAGCACGGCCATTTCTTCGCGGGCAAGCAGCTGGGGGTCGTGATGTCATCGTAGAGGTTTAAAGAGCAAGGTCGGAAGGTGGTGGTGTACTGTCGTTCTACATTGCAGATGCAGAGTGAGACTTTGAGTGACAAGAGAGTTTAAGATCATATTCCTACGTAAGTTGCATCCAGTCACCCTGAACTTTGTAAGTTGAAATGCTCAAAAGGAAAAGAGAATATTTCATGTACATTTTAATTGAAAAGTTAAAATTACAAAGGACTTTAAGTCGAAGGAAATAATTCATGCTATGCAACACATCTATTTCATAGTTTAAAAACTGAAATACATTATTTTGAGTGAAATTTGAGCATTGCTTGAAGAAACTTGAATCTCTTGAGCATTCAAGGAGTTACAATCAATGTTAATGTTAACTATACTTATGTGAAAACTGAAATTTTCTGGTGATTTCTATTACAAGCTAATTTTTGAATATTATATACTGCTGTTTGTATTTGCATTGATCCTGCTTGCAGGGGCGTGTCTAGAGCATTTTAAATGGGGGGGGCCAGTCGGGGGCACTGGCTCAAAAGAGGGTGGCCGGGGGTGAGGGGGGTTTGTTTGCGGAACGATGTATGTTAAAAGCACACGTCCAGTTTTGTGTGAGTGAAGGAAATCCGCTTGGGAGTGGAGAGATTCGTCCTCGCGCACATGGATCGCATAACATTATGCGCTCTCGACATTGTCATTAAGATCACACTATAGAAACCACCTAAAATTAGAAATTTACTAAAAACAAGCCTATGGCAAGACATCTGGTAGGGGGGGCACCTGGGGTGGCCAGCCAAATTTCAGGGGGGGGCGGGGCCACCCCTGGTCACCACGTAGACACGCCCCTGCCTGCTTGCTAATATCTTTTGGGTGCTTACATACTAGAGGTCTGGTGAGAGTGGTATCACTTACTGCTGAAGTTCCTCCCTGATTATGGAAGCTGTGAATGCAGAGGAGGCTATGAAAGATAATGTTGTGCACATAGTTGAACAAGTAAATGAGATGTCACTCCCAGCAGTAGAAATAAGCAACACACCTGTGCAGCAGATCAGATCAAGCTCACGTGAAAGAAGCTTTACAGAAAAAGGTATACTAATAGCACACTTGAATAAACTTCTTTTTCGTAAGGGACAGCTGGAAGGAGACCGCAAAAGAGACTAGATCAAGACTGAAAATGTTCTGTTCATGTGAGAATCTTGAAAAAATACAGCAACATATTTCGACTAAACCCAGAAGCTGAATTGTTCTTGCCTCAGCAAGCATTCTGTGAAGAGCATGAAGCCCAGCCATCTCAGGATAATGTTGCTCTAGCTCAAGCAATAGCAGACTCGCTAAGCGCACATCGACTGCCTGTTCCTGAACCCACAAACTTTGCTGGAGATCCTTTGAAATTCATAGACTGGAATATGTCCTTTATGGCCCTCATTGATCGAAAGCCCCTCCCACCTGGTGAGAAGATGTTCTATCTTAAGAATTACCTTGTTGGAGAAGCTCGCAAAGCGGTGGAGGGATATTTCTACAGAAATTCAGAGGACGCATACCAAGGTGCCTGGAAAGTCTTGCACGATAGGTATGGGAATTCATTCATACTGCAAAAGCCTTTTCGAGACAAGCTGATGAGATGACCCAAAATTGGGGAAAATGACCCTCTCACCCTACGAGACTTCACAGACTTCCTGCAAGGGTGTGTCGAGGTGATTCCTCATGTTAAAGGACTAGCCATTCTAAATGACTGTGAAAAAAAACACAAGCTACTAAAGAAACTTCCTGAATGGATTGTGCGCAAGTGGAATCGAATTGTGGTGGAAGAGTTAGACGCATCAGGGGACTATCCAAGTTTCAAGCGCTTTACAGAGTTCATGCAAAAGGAAACCAGAATAGCATGCAACCCCATCACTTCCCCACTCTTCATGAATCTGAAAAATTCAGATGAAAGGTTTCCCAAGCGAGCTAAGGCTCTCAGTACAAAGGCTGACATGAAAGCTCTAAAAGGCTCAAAACATCCAGCTATAAGTCAAAAGTATCATGCTTCAAGATTTCAGCTCTAAAAGGCTCAAAACATCCAGCTATAAGTCAAAAGTATCATGCTTCGCCTGTAAAGATGAAAAACACAGCATTGCCCAATGTCCTACATTTGCAGAAAGAACCACTGAAGACAAGAAGAACTTCATTCAAGAAAATCTTCTGCTTTGGGTGTCTCAAGAAAGGGCATATCATTAAAGATTGCAAAAGACGGCATAAATGTGGAACATGTGGCCACAATCACCCTACCTGCTTGCATGAAGACAGAGATAAAGTGCCTCTGAAAGCATTAAAAAAACTTCCATAGAAGTTCAAGCAAGTCAGGAAGTTCACAAAGTCATGGCCCATGCACTCACACAAAGTTCTTCTGCTACTTCCAGTATCGTGCTAGTCCTCATTTCTACAGTGGAAGAGCCACAAAGAGAAGTACTCACTTATGCTCTACTGGACACGCAGAGCGACTCGACGTTCATTTTAGAAGATCTTCTTGATGACTTAAATGCGATCACTCAACCAGTGCAGCTTAGACTCAGCACCATGACAGCTGTTGACACCATCACTGCAAGTAAAAGGGTTCGTGGTCTGCAAGTTTGAGGACTTCAAGGAGCAAACTCTATTCATATACATCAAGCATATACTAGAGACTTCATTCCTGTTGACAAGTCCTATATTCCAACCAAGAGGACAGCACTGCAGTGGCCTCACCTCAAACATCTGGCCAATCAATTGCCACCACTTCAGAACTGTGAAGTCGGACTGTTAATCGGATATGACTGCCCATCAGCTCTAGCTCCCCTCGAAGTCATAATAGGTGGTGAAATTGAACCATTTGCACAAAGAACTGAGCTTGGCTGGAGTATTATAGGCCTCTCCATTCCACACCTAGACAGACAGGGAAATCAGAGCTTCGTCCATAGAGTTGCAGTTAAAGAAATACCTGTCCCATCACCCAACGATGTCTTGAGAATTCTAGAGTCAGATTTCAATGAGAAAGGTTATGAGGATAAAAGTGTGTCTCAAGAGGATGTTCGTTTCATACAGCATCTCAGTGCCAATATCAAACAGAAAGATAATGGACATTATGAACTTCCTCTGCCTTTCAAGTGTATCGGCCAACCCTCACTGTCAAATAACAAAAGTCTAGCAGCTGCCCGCTTGCAGCATTTGAAGAAAAGGCTCAAGTCTAACCAACAATATTGTGATCACTACAAGGCCTTCATGGAGGAGATCATTAACAAAGGTGATGCTGAACCAGCCCCAGTGATACCCAAAGGAGAGACTGTATGGTACATTCCACACCATGGGGTGTACCACCCTCAGAAACCAGATAAGCTGAGGGTCATTTTCGATTGTTCAGCTAAGTTTTGCGGTATATCTCTAAATGACACTCTTCTGACTGGGCCTGACCTAATTAACTCATTAGTGGGAGTACTCTGCCACTTCAGAAAGGAACTAGTCACAG